ACAATGGCACCTAACAACAGATTCTGAGGGGAAAATTCTAAGTTCAGGTGGACCTATCCTGATTCTCCAGCAAGCTGTCCACAGCCCCACTTCTGCCCTAGACCTCTGGGTTTGCTTTGGTCAGTAGAAAAGAGACTACGATTAGGAATTTTACTTTATCCAAGGTTTTACCCAAGGAACACTGTAATTTCAAAGCTGGAGAGCTTCAAGATGCTTCGGAATAAGAGGGAAGGGAAGAAGAGAGAATATGGACTGTGAGGAAAGAGTCTAGGTAGAGAAGGAGACCCAATAACTTGGTAACAGGGCAAGGTCAAATATCAAAGACAGACAATGAAAAATTCTCTATTGAGTGGGAGAGAGGAGACATTAAATTACAAGTTGTTCTCTGTTATGTGCTGTGCTATAATACCCCTAACCACCACCACCCCACATCTTCAGTAAAAATATAACAACAGCCTTATAATATTAATATTTGGGGAAATAAAGGAGAAGAGGTCTTGGCAGACTGCAATAGGGACTGATTCAGGAGCTGGTTTAAAAGAAGCCGTCTCGTATTAGCTAAGATAGATTAGGCTACACTGCATAACAAATAAACCCAAAAAGTATTTTTCTTGTTTATATTACAGGTCAATGCAGACCAGGCAGCTCTCCTGCATGGCTCTCTTCCAAACAGTGACTCAGAGATTCATGCAAGTTTCGTCTTGCATTTTCACCATCTAGGAGTTCTTCACTACTCCACAAGTGGGAAAAGGGAAATAGTGTGGCCAACTACACTGCTAAGGCAGGGCCTAGAGGGAAATTTATAGTTTTAAATATGCATATTAAAAAAAAATGCTGAAAATTGATGACCTAAGTTTCTAACTGAAAAAGCTAAAAAAAATTAATGCTAATGAATTATACACTTAAACTTGGTTAAAATGACAAATTTCATGTTACATATATTTTACCACAATTTTCTAACAACCCCTTTAAAAAGAACAGTAAACTAAACCCAAAAAAGTAGGCCAGAGGAATAAAGATAAGAGCAGAAATAAAAACTGAAATAGAAAGCAGACATACAATAGAGGAAATTAACAAAGTCAAAAGTTTATTCTCTGAATAGTCTAATACAGTTGATAAACTCCTAGCAAGACAGATGGAGAGCAAAATAAAAACTACCAAAATCAGGTATGAAAAAGGAGATATCACTATAGAATTTACAAATATTAAAAGGATAATAGAAAGATATTATGAACAATTTTATGCTAATAAACTGGCATTCTTTGTGTTAATATTTATGCTAATACATTGGAAAATTTAAGTGAAATATACAAGCTCCTTAAAATAAAATGTATCAAAATTGCCACAAAAAGAAATAGAAAATATCAATAATCCTCTATCTATCAAAGAAATTAAATCATAATTAAAACCCTTCTCACAAAGAAATTCCACAAATGTTTAAGGAATCAATTATACCAATCTATACAAACACTTCCAGAAAATAGAAAAATAGAGGACATATTTAAACTCATTTTACAAGATCTGTAAAATCTTGATACCAAAAGCTCAGGAAGATAAGAAATTTACTTAATAGGAAAAGAAGAGTCTCTTCAATAAATGCTGTTGGCAAAACTGGATTTCCACATGCAGAAAAATGAAACAGGATCCATGCCTCACACCATACACAAAAAAACTCAAAATGGATTAAGGACATAAATGTGTGAACTAAAACCATAAAATTCTTAGAAGAAAATGCAAGGGCAACACTGTTTGGCCTAGCTTTTAACAATGAATTATCTAATATAATAAAAGCACAAACAGCAAAAGGCAAAATAAATAAATAGGACCTCATAAAAATTAAAAATGTTTGTTAATCAAAAGATTTTACCAAAAAAGTGAAAAAACAAACTACCAAATGAGAGATTATCTTCTGAAACCATATATCTGATAAGAATCTAACAACCAAAATATATCTAAAACTTCAACAAGTTAACAACAAAAAGACAACTGAATCATAAAATGAGTGAAAGACTTGAATAAACATTTCACCGAAAGAGGACATTCAAATGGCCACCTAACACATGAAAAGATACTCAATGTTATTAACCACGAGAGAGGTGAAACTCAAAACCATAATGTGATACCATTTAACTCTCATTAGGATGGCCCTGGTGGCACAGCATTTGAGAGATTGGCTGCTAAGCAAAAGGTCAGCAGTTCGAATCCATTAGCCACTCCTTGGAAACCCTATGAGGCAGTTCTACTCTGTCCTGTAGGGTCACTTTGAGTCAGAATCGAATCAATAGCAATGGGTTTGGTTTTTGTGTTTTCAGGATAGTGAATGGGAATTCTAGAACCCTTAACTGTGCTCATTTGGAACCTGTACATAGACCAAGAGGCAGTCATTTGAGCAGAACAAAGGGATATTGCATGGTTCAAAATCAGGAGAAGTGTGCACCAGGCTTGTATCCTTTCACCATACTTATTCAATCTGTATGCTGAGCAAATAATTTGAGAACCTGGACTATATGAAGAAGAGCACAGCATCAGGATTGGATGAAGACTCATTAACCTCCTGCAGATGATATACGGATGACACAACCTTGCTTGCTGAAAGTGAAGAGGACTTGAAGCACTTACTGATGAAGATCAAAGACTACAGCCTTCAGTATGGATTACACCTCAACATAAAGAAGGCAAAAATCCTCACAACTGGACGAATAAGCAACATCATGATAAACGGAGAAAATATTGAGGTTGTCAAGGATTTCATTTTACTTGGATCCACAATCAATACACATGGAAACAGCAGTCAAGAAATTAAACGACATATTGCATTGGGCCAGTCAGCTGCAAAAGACCTCTTTAACGTGTTAAAAAGCAAAGATGTCACTTTGAGAACTAAGGTGCACCTGACCCAGGCCATGGTATTCTCAAGCGACTCATAAGCATGTGAAAGCTGGCAATAAATGAGGAAGACCGAGAAGAATTGATGCATTTGAATTATGGTGTTGGCGAAGAATATTGAATATACCATGGGCTGCCAGAAGAACGAACCTGTCTTGGAAAAAGTACAGCCAGAATGCTCCTTAGAAGCAAGGATGGTGAGACTTCATCTCACGTACTTTGGACATGTTATCAGGAGGGACCAGTACTTGGAGAACAACTTCATGCTTGGTAAAGTAGTGGGTCATCAAAAAAGAGGAAGACCCTCAACGAGATGGATTGACACAGTGGCTGCAACAATGGGTTCAAACATGGCAACAATTGTCAGAATGGTGCAGGACAAGGCAGTGTTTCATTCTGTTGTACATGGGGTCATTTGAGTCAGAACCAACTTGACGACAGCTAACAACAACAGTCTCCTAGTTCCCTGGTTGTCTAGTGGTTAGGATTCAGCACTTTACCCATGTGGCCTTGGTTTGATTCCAGGAATAACGTCCTCTTGTTGGGATATGTGTTGCTTTAAATAGGAGCCCTGGTGGCATATTGGTTAAGCCCTTGGCTCCTAACCAAAAGGTTAGCAACTTGAACCCACCCAGCAGCTCCCCAGGAGAAAGACCTGGCAATCTGTTCTCATAAAGATTACAACCTATATTTATGAGTCAAAAATCGACTTGATGGCACTCAACAACAGTCTCCACCATAGTATCCCTTTGTCCCCTTCTTCCCATAAATGAAACACCTTCAACTTCTCTTTTTGAGAAACATCCCAAGTCTAATCTGTCATTGCATTTTATAGTTCTCTCCATCAGGAACAGATGTGGCTTCTCTTAGAATGAAGACCTGTGAACTAAAAAGTTGAGTTGTCTGATTCATACCCACACCAAGATACAAGTATACAATGATGGAACAAGAATAGAATAACTACAGTAAACACTTCCATTCAGAAAGGGGAAGAAAGAGACACATGGCAGTCACTGGTCTATAACAATGCTGAAACACGACTGGGCAGACATCATAAAGGCTGCCTACCCTGGGGCAGGAACTTTCTTGTCTCCTGTTCTCTGTGATCCTTGGAACCTCTCTCTGAGGAGCTTCCTTTGTGACCCTTATTCTTCTTGTCCATATCTAAAGAGGAAGTTGGGGAGAATACTCTCCTCAGGCTGTGCAACTTCCTAACGGTTTGTTTTAAGACTTCACTAAAGGTCTCATGCTGTGTACACAGGCTTGTGGTTTCTTTGACAATACAGTTTCCTCAAAAATTTGGTAAGCTTCTGATATATTTGCATCCAGCAGGTACCATTTGCCAATGTCCACACTCAATGTTCCTTTTATCGAGACATACTTAGTTCTCAAATTTGCTTTATTCTTTTGCCTTCTTGCCTTCATATTTTCCCTTGCAAGGTGATAGTGATTACCTTGAGGCTAGCAGGAACAATGGTGGGAGGCTACATCTTTAACTGAATATTTTTCATGATTCACTTTAATCAATTGAGACATTTTCTTGGATCTTTGGCGCTCAGAATGTCTTTCAAATTCCCATTTCTTACTATTTGGGATCTAAAAGCAGTCAGCTTTTCCAGCCCTACAGACTTCAGTATTCTGGACTTTCTCTAGTCTCTTTAATTTCTCCTGGAAAAACAGCCAATTTTATTCTTATTTTTGCCCTTTATTTTTTTATTGGGATATTATTCACATACCATAAATTCACCTTTTTAAAGTTTACAATTCAGTAGTTTTAGTATATTGCAAAATTGAACAACTATCACCTCTACCTAATTCCAGTACATTTCGTCACCCAGAAAGAAATCCTGTAACCGTTAGCAGTCACTCCCCATTTTCCCCTATCCAGACCCTGGAAATGTGCTTGTCTAGGGACTCCAAGCAGTGGCAGGAAAGTGCATGGACGGACAGATTAGGCATTAATGAGCCTATTTTAAAAGATGAACAGGTCTCTGATAATGGTATGAGCTCTCACAAGTGAGTGGTGCAGGCCTGAGAATATTCTCCTGAGGGCTGAGGGAGGAGAGGCTTAATTGAAGTGCAGTTTAAATCTCAAGTGACCTGTGTACTCACAGGAGAGTGAAGTTGCCTGGATGGTAGCAAGAAGCTTGGACTCTACTTTGGATGACTCTGTTATTTGAAACCACATGGCTCTGTGAACCCCAGGGATTAGAATGGAAACCAGCAATGGTGAGTCTTTCAGTACCCTTCTGAAACTGCTGGGCTATGGGTTCTTCCTTTGCAGCTAAGAGGTAATGTTGCAAGGGAAACCAGAGATGCAAAGTAATTCCCTGGAGCTTTGTGTGGTCAATCCAGTGTTTGAAGTCATTGTTTTCATCTGGAAGGTGATAGAGCAGAGTGGTTAAAAACACAGGTTCCAGAGTCAGACTGACAGAGTTCAAACCCCAATTCTTCCCCTAAATTAACTGTGTCAACAAGTCACCAACTACTCCAAATCTTATTCTTTATCTGTAAGCTGGGATGTACATGATGTCTTCTATTTGCACCTCCATAACCACTCTCCAGGAACAAGGTGGCTCAGTGATTAAGCACTCAGCTGCTAACCAAAGGTTAGCCGTTCAAAAGGTCAGCAGTTTGAACCCACCGGCTGCTCCATGAGAGAAAGATGTGACAGTCTGCTCCCGTAAAGATTTACGGCCTTGGACTCCCTATGGGGTCATTCTACTCTGTCCTATAGGGTTGCTATGAGTAGGAATCAACTCAACGGCAACAGGTTATCCATTCTCCACCCTTCTCCACCCTGCTCTGTGTCCTGAGAAGCTGGCCTATATGAACTGTATCAAGGGGCTCCTTTGCCCTCTGGCTTCCAGTTGTGTCCAAGAAATGGGAGAGTGGGAGAAAAGTGAGAACTTGCTATTTATTCCTCTGGCTCCTGTGCAGCTGGGTTGCTGAGGGTTGATTGTGAGCCTCTCCCAAAGGCAACCTCCTTACAGTTTCTTGGCAGGATCCAGAACCTAATCCTCTTCTTACCCCTTCAGGCATGGGATGGTAATATCTCCCCACTGTTACTAGCCCCCAAATACTGCAACATCCCATGTTGCTTTCCCTAAATACTTCCCACTTAATACCCCTTATGAAGCCCTCTTCAATTACCCACTTTCAAGGGTGCCAGGACCCTGACTGAAGCAACTACTTGCTTGCATTAATAGCCTTTTGGGTGGCCAGCTGGCTCAACGAGATTCCCTTTCTCTGAGAACAGCCCCTATACAAAGTTGAGGACCCCCAGTGGTCATACCTTTGCTACATGGCCTTCAACCTTATAGTTCCAGTGATAGACCCTTGGCCCAAGGTAGGCCAATCAGATTCTCCCTCCCAGGAAAGTGATATTTGGAAAAGAAATAACAGGAACTAGGAGCTACTGGGACTGCACCAGATTTATTCCCAAACCTAACTTCAAGGAGCATGCAAAAATGAACAAGAGTGGGTTCCTGTCCTTCCAAGTTTTGGTTGTTCAACGCTCCCTCCTATTCCATGAGATATCCTATTTTCCTTTCAATACATTCCCTTTTTACTTAGCTAGCCAGAGTTGGTTTCTGTTGCTTACAAGCTATAGCACCTCACAGAATTTTTATGAGATAGTATATATAAGGTGTTTAGCACGATGCTTAAGGTATGGCAAGCTCTCAATAATCGCTAGCTCTTATTATCTGTAAAAGCAGAGCTAATATCACACAGGTTTTTGTGAAAATTAAATGAGTCCGTGTGGTCTCTATTAAACCCCAATGGGGGCCCCATAGGACTTAGATCTGGAAAGTTAAGCAACAGGGTCCGAGTAAATCTCTATCATCCCGTAAGAGATAATGCCTTGGATTGACATAGTCCTAGAACGGGCATGTTATTTGGACTGCTTGTGTTTCTTCATTTGGAAACTGCCCTGCCCCCTTTCCAAGTGAGTCTTGTGGGACTGGCAATCAAGTCATGGGTAGGGAAGGGAGGGGGGCCAAATGATCAAGCTGGCCTGAGTATCCCATCCCTGGACACAGGAACACCCAGGATACCCAGACAATGACCAGTTGAAGTCCTTTAAGGAATTAGTTGGATTACTGGGAAGAGTCTCTCTTTTTCTGAGGTCACAAGCTTAAGGATCCTAAAAGCCTGGAGTCTTTGGAAATCATCTTTCAACATGTGGGAAAAGTGGGCTAGGAAACAAATCCAACATAGAAGGAAGCAGGTCTAAGAGATAAAGGAAAAGAGAAATAGATTCCTGACAATATTGTTTTGGTTCCTTCGTCCAGCTGTTGCTAAAGCTGACAGCTGGAATTTTTAGTTATGAGAAACAAAACATTTCTTTTTGTCTATGCTGGTTTGACATGGATACCTGTTACTTGCAACTAAAATTGTCCTACCTACTATACAAGCCCTTCTTCTAAAAAGTTGACACACTTTCAGAGTTATTCCTTTGTCATAATGAAAGTCCTGGGAAATGAATAAGCATAGGAACTTTTCTTCCCATTTTTCTGGTGGAAAAAATTAATATTTTAAAAGACTTACCCAAATTTACACAGCAGGTGTTGATGCCAGATGTAGAGCACCAGTTCTGTCAGGGCCATATTATGACTTTCTTGAACCCCTTCATGAGCCTCTTTCTCCATAAAAAAATTAAAAATAGTATTTTATTAATGTATTGGCATAAAGACAAATACAATCCAGATTGTATTAATAGTTACATATTAATTAGTATTAGATTCTTTTTTTTTTTCTGGTTTTAAAAGAAATTAAAATGTTTTCATGGTCCTCTAAAAGTATCGAGGGCCCTAATATGCTAAGTTGGCCCTGAGTCCTGTTTGCAAAAGAAAGCAGGAAAAGGAAGTATGGAAATGAGATGATACTTATGAACATACTATTGTACTCTGTTGACCATAGGTCAACATGTAAACAAATGTGAGGAATATTATTACTAAAAGGGGGCTCTCGGGAAGGTAATGTAAGCATGTGGCCCATGTATGCAGTCGTGAAATGATTAAATACCAAAACTCCAAATGGCTACAGATGGGGGTGCTTAACGGTAGGAGACCAGAAGGGTGGGGAGTCAATGACTTCTTGCAGTAAGGAGCCCTTGGCAGCTCAGCATCCACCCCTGCCAACTGTCCCCACTGTCGAGGCATGGCCCAGTAGGAGTCACAGCCAAGCCTGGGCACAGCTGGAGGCTGGCAGAGACACTCAGATGCATCTAGGTCCTGCTCTTCAAACTGGACGAAGCTGTCAGGAGCCACCTAGAGGGACCTGGGCTAAGGAGGGGCTTTGGGAGCAAGGTTGGAAAGAGAGTTTTACCCAAGTGGCTGTAGGCAGAGTGGAGCCAGCAGAGTGGACCAAATGTCAGAATCAAAAGGTAAAGTGATGCCAAACATAAAGACATGCCAGCTGTCATGGATTGAATTGTGTCCCCCAAAAAATATGTGTATCAATTTGGCTAGGTCATGATTCTTAGTATTGTAAGATTATCTACCACTTTGTCATCTGGTGTAATTTGCCTATGTGTTGTAAATCCTATCACTATGACATTAATGAGATGGATTAGTGGCAGTTGTACTGATGAGATCTACAAGATTAGATAGTGTCTTAAGCTAATCTCTTTTGAGATATAAAAGAGACAAGCAAGCAGAGAGACAGAGGGACCTCAGACCACCAAAAAAGCAGTGCTGATAGCAGAGCTTGTGCTTTGGACCTGAGGTTCCTGAGCTGGGATGCTCCCAGATCCAAAGAAGACTGATGCATCACAAGGACTTCCTCCAGAGCCAATAGAGAGAGAAAGCCCTCCTCTGGAGCTGACAGCCTGAATTTGGACTTGTAACCTACTGGACTATAAGAGAATAAACTTCTCTTTGTTAAAGCCATCCACTAGTGGTATTTCTGTTATAGCAGCACTAGATGACTAAGACATCAAGTCAGGAACTAGAAGGATCAGGAGCAAGCCTGAACACAGAGTGGAGCTGTCAGGAAAGGTTCAGGTTCAAAGCTGAGTCTCAGGGTCTTACTTTAATGTTCTGCTGGCCTTGTGGCCCGAAGGCAGTCCCTGGTATCTTAAAGAGACCACACAGAGTCAGACATACTTGATAAGAATAAACCTCCTCAAAAATACTACCAGTGAAGATTTTCTTCTTTACCGTGAACTTCAAGCAACTGTGGAGAGACTGAAAATTGTCCACTATTAATATTAAACCCCATTTTAAGAAAACAAAACATTTCAGTGCAGAGAATGTAGTGTGCAGACAGCTTGGGGTACACAAGAGAAAAAGAAACAAAACAATGCTAAGACAATAAAAGAAAAGGATGCCAACAGAATTGAAACAGAGATGATTTTCAATAGTTGTCCCCTAGAAGAGAGGTAGTATCAGTAACTGAACAACACTTCATTGTCTTAGTAACATGTGTATATACATTTGCTTCAGCCAACTTGTTCTCATCCCCTAGTGTCAGCCCAGTCATTCTAGACTAACCTTCGTGTGTTGTCATTATCTTTACAGAGTCCAGGAGAAATCCTCTCTCTGGGCATGGTAATAAGAGACACTTACTCTATGGCAATGGGTTTGGGTTTTTGGGTTATTACAGAAAGATACCTAGACTAGGTGGATTCCAGCAGACAGTCACTGCTTAGATCCCAGTGTCCAGATTGAGCAGACCAGGTAACTCTTCTCCCCAACTCCTTAGAGACTATAGAACAAGCCTCAATACTAGAAGAGGAAGCCTGACAAACACCATTGCTATGTGGGTGTGCCACATATTACATAAGCACATGGGCTAATTAAAAAGCAAGTCTGGCCTAAGAATTGGGTCAGACATGAAAAGGCCCAAGAAACAAGAAGGGCTGTACTCAGATCACTGACAACATGACATGGGAACTTGCCAGCCAACTGTGCTTTTAAGTCACTAGAAATGTGTTGCTAGGAGATGCCAAGTCTCTGCAAGATGACTAAGCATTTTTCTTCTGCTGCCTCTTCCTTGTGGAGCTCAAAGAGTGGCAGTGACAGCCCCAAAACTGCAGGCATGTGGGCAGGGAGGTTGGGGCTGTGCTCTCCACAGGGCAGGTGCTGCTCTTTCAGTTCCCCTTTGCGCAGCCTGCCCTGGGCTATATGTTGGGCGCTGAAGAGGGATGTTGCAGTCTCAAAAGCCCAGCCCACCCAGCAGGTAATGTAAATTTAGGAAGTTCTGTGATCCCTCCTAGGACCTCA